TCACACTTGCCCAAGTTATTATTAACTTAGTCCCAATTATCATTCCTAAAACCTTACCCAACTCAAAAGGCTAAAATGGTTGACCTCTAGTTTCTGTGCTTACCTTCATTACACTTTTGAACAAATGCATAACACAGTTGCAATTCACCAGTCCTCTGAATCTGCGCTCCCATCTCACTGCTTTGAACAAGGATTCAAAGAATATGGTCAGTTGAATTATCACAGCATCCTTCCCTTCTTTGTCTTTTGTGTAAAGACTTTATGCTTTTACTTTTCTGTATTTTTGATTGTGGTCTAAAATGTGAAAATTCGGCTGCTGTTATATGATAGTCCACAGGGCCTCATGGAAGCGCAGTCTTGAGCTGCTAATTCTGTTTGAAGTCTGTCCCATTTAGCATGACAATTGTACCACACAGCATGACAGAGGGTATGCTCAAGGTGAAGGTGGAACTTTGTCTCCAAGGACTATGTGGTGGTCACTCTTACCGATACGGAGATGGGCAGATGCATCTGCAGCCGGCAGATTGGTAAAGATGAGGTCAAGAATGTTTTTCTTTACCACCTGCTGCAGACCCAAACTAGCAGCTATGTCCTTTAGGACCCGACTAGCTTGGTCAGTAGTGCTGCTGTTCGGCTACTGTACATTGAAATTCCCCAAGTGTACATTTTGCACCCTTGCCACCCTCAGTACTTCCTTCCCATCAGAATACATCTTGACTGTACCTGAAATCTTTTCTCTTTACATATTTTCTGGCAAATAAATATCCTTACTCTAGATTGCCAATTTCCCTTTTCACAGCCAGCCTAACCTTGTAGGGGCTATTGGCCCTACATGTTTCCCTACTGACAGCTGATGTACTTATCCCAACTCATTTCCAAGAAACAGGCTCAGCATTGTCTCCTTGGTGTACTGGAAAGACAAGAGTGAAGAAATTTCTCTTCTGCTCATTAATAGTTATTGTCTTCCTCTGCCCTTTACACTGTACTAATAAATTATAATCCATCTTACATTTCTTCCAGCTGTTTGTAATTTCCTTTCAAATTTGTTCATCCACACTTTCCCCCTAGTTACTGACTTATAGACTACACAGAGCATTGTTGATCTTTGGGTCCAAAAAAATAGATTCTGTTCTTGAGTCATCCTCTCTCTCGCTCTCTCCAGCACTGAAGTGATCTCCTTAGTGACACCCCTCCTTTCTTTTCTTCCCAATCTTTCCTGAAGAACTTGTATCCAGCAATATTTAATGCCCAATCCAGCCTTTCTTGGAGCCAAGTCGCCATTATTTCCGTAACATCTTATTTGTCATTCATTTTTCACTTGCCAACCAGCACCTGCAACTCACCAACCTGGTTTCCACATTTCCACACATAGCACTGCAACTCTTGATTACTTTCCCTCTTCCTGTGCCATCACCTAATGTATTGCTGTTTCCTATTCTTGTGCTTTCTACCTCACCCAATTTTCTATGCATCTTGATGTTACAGATCATTGTATACTAACTAGCTATTTACCACCATCTTAAACCAAAGATAACTCATTTTAGAAGTAGAATAAGTCTTCGTTCATTAATAATCTACAAAATTGAAAAGCTAAATGTAAACAACGTCACCAGTTGAAGCTTTGATTGGCAGAGAAAAAAGTGATTACCTCAGGCAGTAGCCAGTAACACATTTACCTCACTCCCATCAAAATAAAAGCGCAAGTAATTAATTCAAGCAAAGAAATCAATAGCAGAATCAGCAAGGCACTAGCTGGAATCAGCAAATGAAATAAAGAAGTTGAACAAGCCGACACTATCAATGCCATCTTTAATAATGGTCTCATTACCCACAGTACAGTACACTGCAAATCCACAGCTGCAAGTGTGAGAATGGGTGGGTTGTGAAATGCAAGCAACTGTTGCAGTACTGACTAAAATAAGTAAATGAAAAATCCTTATACGGTATGACTGAGGGATGGAAGCTGCCTTACTAGCAACACATCCAAAAATAAATCATGGGCACAAAGCTCATGCAAATTAATTTTTGTGAATAATCATTTTTCAATAAACATTTTCCCAGTTAACAGCTGCCCACTGCTGTTTCCAGTTGGTGAAATGAAAAGGCAGTGAGGGAGTTGATTCAGTCCGTCGAGCTCCATGACCTTGTTTGCGAACAACAGTCATCAATTACTCAGAAGTACCGCCTATAAACAAGATTATATTCATACAATGAAAATGTATCAGCAGAGATTCTTTACTCAGCAATTCCACATGCTCAGCCAGCCTACAGTCTCAACTATCAACAAATTCATTACCTGGAAAATATGCTTTGAAATTGTCATTTGCTAGCACAGGAGACCCTCTAGAGTGCTTAGAATTAATGAAGCAATTCCACAATCTTTCTCTTACTCTGTTCCAATAACAGAAATTCCTGCATGTCAACAGGAAGTATATGCTGAAGATGTGCAAGCTTACCTTTCATAGATTAAAATATCAGCGCAGACACGATTGGCAGAAGGGCCTTTTCTGCACTCTATGAATCTATAAAACACATTTTGATATCAAATTTCTTAGGACAAAGTAAATCACAGAAAGCCAGAAAATCAACTCCTGCCACATATCAAATGCTGACAATCAGGATATATCAAATGTCAGCCCAGTTTGGGCTGGCCTATGATTTTCCCCATATTCTAGCAAAGCATCTTCAGCTCAGATACTGCACAATAGCTTTGGAGAATACCTCTAACACCCGCAATTTTGCTCAACAGAACACCAAGTTTCACCACATTACCTGTTGTACGCTTAATCTTATACAGGGACAGATAATGTCTGTGCTCGTGGTGTAGTGATAGTGTCCCTTCCTCTGGGCCAGGAAGCCCAGATTTAAGTCCTACCTGTTCCAGCGATGTGCAATGAAATCTCTGAACAGGTTGATTAGAAAATAACTAGAGAAAATTTTCTTTTAAACCACGAGGGCAAAGTCAGAGATCATAGAATCCCTACATTCGGCCCATCAATTCCACACAGATCCTCCGAAGAGCATGTCAACCAGTCCCAGCCCCCTGTCCCTGTAACCCTGCATTTCCCATAGAAAATCCACCTAGTCTGCACATCCCTGGACACAGCCAATTCACCCAACCTGCACATCTTTGAACTGTGGGAGAAAACCCATGCAGACACAGGGAGAACGTGCAAATTCCACACAGATAGTCACCCGAGGCTGGAATCAAACCTGGGTCCCTGGCGCTGCTAGGCAGCAGTCCTGACCACTGAGCCACCATGCCACCCAAATTTTATTTTATATTTTAGCACTAAAAGAATTTGCTCCAGATTATTGATATCAGCAGGCACATCCCTTATTATCCTGACAATATGAAGAATTATCCACAAAGTGCAGGACTGGAGTCACCCGTATAGAATCATAGAATTTTACAGTACAGAAGGAGGACATTTAACCCATTGTGTCTGCACTGACTCCCAAAACAGCTACCTAGTTAGTCCCATTCTCCAGCCCTATCTCCATAGACATTCATCACTTTCAAATATATATCCAGCTGTACTTTCAATCCTCCTATGGAATCACCTCCACCACTCGCCCAGGCAGCGCATTCCAAATCCTAACAACTCTGAGTAAAGAAGTTCTTCCCTATCTCACTCCTAGCTCTCTTGCTGACTATCTTGAAACCTGGTTATTGTGGTCTAGATAAGGTAGGGGTGACATGATCCCTTCCCTGAAGAATTTTATTGAACGAGCTGAATTGTTAAAAACAATCTAGAACCTTTTATTTTTTCGTGCAATATTAAATGTATTGCCACAATACGATTTGGGATTTTTGGATTACTCATCCATTATCACAACCATTACAGCAACAAATCAGGTCAGGTTTATTTTATGAGGAGATTCGAGGAAACTGCAACTGTACTCCCTAGAGATTAGAAACACAGAGCAGAGCAATTGCATTGAAAATTATAAAGTTCTTAAAGAGCATGACAGGGTCAATGTAGGTAGAATACCTCCCCTGGCTGGTGACTCTAGAACCAGGGGACATAGTTTAAATGCTCAGCCCCTTAACACCAGACTGATGAGAAGGAATGAAAAAAATTCCAAGAGAGTGTAAATCTTTCCAATCCTCTACCCCAGGCGATAGTAGAGACTCAATCATTGAGTAGGTTCAATAAGTTCAATAAGTTCCTGGGAGACTGCTGACATTAAGAGACAAGAAGATAGCATGAAAAAATGGCATTAAAGGAGATGATCAGCCACGATACAGAACACAGGGGAGGCTTGATGGATTGAAAGGTCTAATCCCGTTCCTGGATTCCGATATGTTATTCTATCTTTTCTGTCAGTTATGCAAAATGTCATCTCTGCTTCATGTAATAATCACTTGGTTGCACTAATGCATTCAAAACAAACTGTACTTCGGAGTTATTCAATGTGTGGCTCCCCCCAGGTAAAAATAGTATGAACACCACTGACCCTCGCACAACTCAAGTTGCAAGAGGAGTTAACGTTGCTGAAAATTTTTTGAAAAGCTTTCCCCAAACAAAACACTCAAATAAATGAGCCCTGCCTTCCTCCTACAATTTGCAGTTTTAAATCTTGAATCATAATCTTCCATGTCTTCAGGTACATCATACCATTGCACACAACAGCTAATCTATGAAAACATCTAAGGCCCAGTGCAAACATGCTGAAATTTCTTGCTGACATCTGTCAACTTGCAGAACTCAAAGCATGAACAAACACAGAAGTTGCTGGAAAAGTTCAGCAGGTCTGGCAGCATCTGTGAAGAAAAAGCAGAGTTAACGCTTCAAGTCCGGTGACCCTTCCTCAGTTCAGAACTGAGGAAAGGTCACCGGATCCGAAGCCTTAACTCTGCTCTGTTTATGTTCCTGATTTACAATACCTGCAATTCTTTCGATTTTTATTTAGAACTCAAAAGCATGCTCTGTTTAAAAAAAAAAGCACTCAAACTGGGAGAAAATACCACTGTATTTATAATGTTGATAAATTACCCTGAGCATCCTGTTCTGCTTCCAGAAGCCTTCGAGCTAGCAGTCTATTCCTGAGATTGCGTCGTACTCTTGGTGCCCCTGCCGGCCGATCTTCATTAACAGGTCGAGGTCTTCCAGCAGCAGCCAGTACATTTCGCTGTTGGTTCTGATCTGCTGAGTTAACAAACAAACCTTTAAAATTTACATACCATCTGTATCCAATATTCTCAAATCATATGGGCCAAATAAGGGTGACGAATCATCAGACTCTATTTTGCCAAGAGATCAAAATTCAAAACAATGGGTCACATGAGCTCAAAAATTCTAGATATTTAAAACTGATTTTTGTTGCAGTGTATTTACAGAAGAGAGACACAAAAATGACTGGTGTTTGATACTACAGGTGCCACTAACACACCAGTAATTTGGATTATCTTGGAATAATGAAAAGTTAACATGATAGATAATTGAAATACTGCATTTTGTGATGAGAATTTGAGAGTTACTCTTACGCTCAAGACTGATGGATAACCCAGAAGCAACATATTGAGTTCTGAAGAAAAGTCAAAAGACTTAACATGTTAACCCTGCTTCTATATCTGCAGACACAGCAGTCAGCTGACTACTTCTAACTTTTCTTTCAAATAACTAGCATGTTGCATTAATCAGAGACCATTCTAATACTTGTGTCTAAGTCACGAGTTTCAGTTGTTCCTCACATTTCTCATAACTGAATATTTCACAATTCTTCTAAACAAAAAAAAAATCACTCAAATGACACTAATTCATGAAGGCTTTTCAATTTACAATTCTCTGGGGTATATAATAAAAATTGTTGTGAGAAAAACATGACTTTGTTCAAAATGAAAGGGTGAAATAAAGGGAGAATGCTCGAATCTGCATACAGACGAGTACAATTATGAAAACACTGAAAAGACACCTGAAACAAGGCTCCTGGTTATTTTTCTGACAAAATGACCATGAACAATGGAAATCAAAAATAAAATCCAGTGGCCTGTGAAACAGAAGTTCTGCTTTCCCATTAAAGGGATTTTGTAAATGTGAGCTATCAATGTTGTAAAATTCTACTTTAGGACTTTGGCCACAGTTCTCCCTAAAACGAATCCTTCAACCAAGCTTTACATACACCCATCCAAAAACCTAACCACTTGGCTTTGAATCAAATTTTTACATCATTGGGCAATGCCTTGGGATAGCTTTCTATTCAACATGTCATTTTGTAATGACAACATGCAAACATGAACTCAGGTACAAGCTTTTGTATATAAGATGAACAATTGTGCTTCACAGTGCAATTGAAAAAAGTTGATAGAAATACATAGCCCTTTTTTCATAATGCAATATTTCAATGCATATTTTCACTTAATACAATGAACACAAATGCAAGGACATGAGAAATAAGATAGTTGAGCTGACAGCACAGATAGCTATAGTACTGCACACCTTCGTGGCTATGACCGAGAACTGGCTGAGAGAGGGACAGGATTGACAGCTCAACATTCATGGTTATAGGGTATACAGAATGGGTGATAAGAGGAGTGTGTTGGGTTACAACATTGAGGGAGGCAAGGATAGACTAGGCAATTACAGACCAGTCAGTCTAACCTAAGTGGTGGGGAAAGTTATTGGAAAGAATTGTGACTGGCAGATGTATCTGCACTTGGAGAGATATGGATTAATCAGGGATAATCACCATTGATTTGTTAAAGATAGCAAGAACTGCAGATGCTGAAGTCAGAGACAACAAATTGTAGAGCTGGAGAAACAGAGCAGGCCAGGCAGCATCAGAGAAGCAGGAAAGTTGTCGTTTCGGGTCCAGACCAGGACCGGTTCCTCTGATGCTGCCTGGCCTGCTGTGTTCCTCTAGCTCCACACTTTGTTGTCTCTGGATTTATTAAAGGATTGTTTTGTTTAACAACATTGATAGACTTTTTTTGAGAAAGTAATCAGGAATGTTGATGAGGGTAATACATTCAATTAGGTTTACAAAGACCTTAGCAAAGCTTTTGACAAGGATCATCATAGCATACTGGTCAAGAAATTAAGAGTCCACGGGATCCAAAACTGGCTGAGAGACAGCAAGCAGAGAGTGATGATAGAAGGATATTCGTGTGACTGGAAATCTGTTTTCAGAAATGTTCCACAGGACTCAGGGTTGGGACCCTTGCTGTTTGTAGCGTACATTCAAGATTTGGACTTAAAATGTATGGGATACAATCAAGAAGTTGCAGATGACATGAAAATTGGTAGGGTGCAATAGTGAGAAGAATAGCCACAAGTTACAGGGGGCACATCATGCTACAGCAAAGGAAGCAAGATTATGTTCAGTATCGACAGAGTATGGCGTGGGTGGATGGTCTTTACTTTAATGCTAGGAGTGTGATAGGCAAGACTGATGAGTTCATGTCATGGATTGGCACAAAGAAGTTTGATATTGTTGCCATCATAGAAACATGGTTGAAGGGAGGACTGGACTGGCAACTCAACATTTTGGAGTATAGAATCTTTAGGCAAAACAGAGGAGGGTGTAAAAAGAGTGGTGGCATAGCGCTATTAATTAAGGAGTCAATTATTGTAATAAGGAGAGATGACATCTTGGAAGGGTCCTTAAATGATGCTTTGTGGGTAGAACTTAGAATTGTTAAGGGAGCAGCTACTTTACTGGGAATGTACTATAGGTCCCCAAATATTTAGTCGGGGGTAAAAAAAAAGGAGCAAATATGTAAACAGTTCACACATATGTAAGAGTAACAATTGGGTAATTATACTAGGGGATTTTAACATTCCCAAAATAAATTGGGTTGTCATAGTGTTAAGTGTTTAGAGGGAGCTGATTTCTTTAAAAGGTATCCAGGGGAGTTTTTTGTATCAATATGTCGAAGGTCCAACAAGGGACAGTGCAGTGCTAGATCTGGTTCCAGGGAAAGAAGCCAAACAAGTGTTCAATATGGCAGTGGGGAAACATTTAGGCAGTAGCGACCTATAGTATGGTTTAAATTTGTTATTGACCGGCAAAAAGATGGCCTGCAAAAGACACGGTAGACCGAGAACAGCTCCTTGCGGCTAAGTCTACAGCAGAACAATTGGGGGATGGCGGTGGGGGGGGCGTGTTCAAAAAGGAGCTGAAGAGTACACAGATCCAACATGTATCCTTTAGAGGGAAGGGTAGCAGCAATTAGTTCTGAGAATTCTAAATGTCTAGGACAATTCAGGACTGGATAAGGAAGTGTAGGGATTTTAGCAATTCCAGAAGGGGGGAATTCGGCTGCAGCCCTACAGGAATACCAGAAGTGTAGGAGAGAACTTAAGAAAGCAATTAGAAGACCAAAAAGAGAACACATAAAAGAGTTGTGAACAATATTAGGGAGAATCCCAAGGTATTTTATAAATACATGAAAGGAAAGAGGTTAACCAGGGAAAGAGTAGGGCCCATTAGGGACCGAGGGGGCAACCTGTGTACGAAGCCACAGGATACTGGAAGGGTATTGGATGAATACTTCTAGAACATAGAACATAGAACAGTACAGTACAGTACAGGCCCTTCGGCCCACAATGTTGTGCCGACCTATTATCCTAATAAGATCAATCTACCCTACATACCCTACATTTTACAATCCTCCATGTGCCTATCCAAGAGTTGCTTAAAAGTCTCTAAAGTATCTGACTCCACTACCACTGCCGGCAGCGCTATCCACACGTCCACCACTCTCTGTGTAAAGAACCTACCTCTGACATCTTCTCATACCTTCCTCCGATCACCTTAAAATTATGCCCCCTCGTAATAGTAATTTCTGTCCTGTGAAAAAGTCTCTGACTATCCACTCTATCTATGCCTCTCATCATCTTGTACACCTCTATCAAGTTACCTCTCATCCTTCTTCACTCCAGTAAGAAAAGCCCTAGCTCCCTCAACCTTTCCTCATAAGACCTGCTTTCCAGTCCAGGCAGCATCCTGGTAAATCTCCTCTGCACCCTCTCTAAAGCTTCCACATCCTTCCTATAATGAGGCGACCAGAACTGAACACAATACTCCAAGTGTGGTCTAACCAGAGTTTTATAGAGCTGCAGCATAATCTCACAGCTCTTAAACTCAATTCCCCTTCCAATGAAAGCCAACACACCATACACCTTCTTTACAACCCTATCAACTTGGGTAGCAACTTTGAGGGATCTATGGACGTGGACCCCAAGATCCCTCTGTTCCTCCACACTGCCGAGAATCCTGCCATTAACCCTGTATTCTGCATTCAAATTCGACCTTCCAAAATGAATCACTTTACACTTTTCTGGGTTGAATTCCATCTGCCACTTCTTTGCCAGGCTTTGCATCCTGTCAATGTCCCGTTGCAACCTACTACAGCCCTCCACGCTATCCACAACTCCACCAACCTTTGTGTCATCAGCAAACTTACTACCCCACCCTTCCACTTGCTCATCCAAGTCATTTATAAAAGATCACAAAGAGCAGAGGTCCCAGAACAGATCCCTGCAGAACACCACTGGTCACTGAGCTCCAGGCTGAACATTTTCCATCTACTACCACCTTCTGTCTTCTATTGGACAGCCAGTTTTGTATCCAGACAGCCAAATTTCCCTGAATCCCATGCCTCCTTACTTTCTGAATGAGCCTACCATGTGGAACCTTATCAAATGCCTTGCTAAAATCCATATACACCACATCCACTGCTCTATCTTCATCGATGTGTTTTGTCACATCCTCAAAGAATTCAATGAGGCTTATGAGGCATGACCTGCCCCTCACAAAGCCATGCAGACTATTTCTAATCAAATTCGGTCAAATTTCTAATCTAATTCGGTCTTCAGTCTGTAAAAGGAGAATGTAAGTATGGAATTCAGGAAAAGGTACTACAAGGAACTTGCACAGTTTGACATAGGAAAGTGAAGGCTCTGCCAGGGTTTAAAACAGACAAGTCCTCTGGCCTGGATGAATTTTATTCCAGGTTGCTGAGGGAAGCACGGCAGGAAATTGCAGGGACACAACAGAACTTTTTAATTCCTCTCTGGTGGGAGGAGTGCCAGAGGACTGGCAAAATGATCAGAAACTGGCTTAGTAATACGTCATCAACAGTAATGGTAGAAGGCTGTTTGAGTGACCAGAGGCCAGTGTCGAGTGGTGTACCAGAAGGATCAGT